CCAGAGGTTTGACGCTAACCAGTGTACATTCCACAAAAAGGAGGGTCAGCACGGGGAGAAAAGTCCTCAACACTTCCAAGGGAAGCCACATACTCCATAAGACATTTACACACTCTGGCAGTTGACACAGCTGGTTAGGAAGGATGAGTAAAGGACCCAGTTCATTCATTTGCTCATTTTTTTGAGACAGGGTCTCACCATGTAGCCCAGGCTTGCCTGGAACTTGCTATGCAGACCACACTGGCTTTAAACTTGTAACACTCTTCCTGTCTCTGTCTCCTGAGTGCCCACGTGCAGCTTGATGCTCTAGTTTCTACAAGAACCCAAATTTTCTTTGTGCCCATTTCAATTATTCATTGAGGCCTAAAGTCAGAAAATTCTGGTGACAAGTGGTGGAATAGTCAAACTGACTGACCTTAGCTTGGCAGAATCTGCAGCTGCCAATTAGGCTTCAGGCTTGTTCCACTCTCCCACACACTTCTGAAGTTCTTCTAAAGTTCTTCAGTCTACAGATGCAACACCTGTGGGCATGTAGAGTGTTAGCTGAATATTCTTTTTTTTTGAAACAGGATCTCCCTGTAGCCCCAGCTGACCTGGAACTCATTGTATAGACCAGGCTGGCCTTGAACTCACAGAGATCTGCCTGCCTCTGCCTTCTGAGTGTTGGGATTAAAGGCATGCTCCACCACATTCATCTTGGTAATTCTTTTAAGAAATATTTTATTTATTATTTTTATTTTATGTGTATGAGTGTATTGCCTGCATGTATGTATGTATGTGTACCCATGTCATGCAGTACCCATGGAGGTCAGAAGAGGGCATTGGAGCCCCTGGAACTGGAGTTAGGGCAGTTGTTAGCCATCCTGTGGGTGCTGGGAATCCAACCCTAGTCCTCTGAAAGAGCAGCCAGTGACTTTAGTGCTGAGTAATCTCTCCAGCTCCCAGAAGAAGGTAATTCTCAGTGTGCAGTACAGTGGCTTCTATTTACCCCCCTTCTGGAGAGGAATGGGGATAACCCCCACTCAGAAGGTGACCCCTCCAACTTTTTACAGAGAATATTAGTTCCCCAAATACCCTCCTTTGGGGCTCATCCTTCTCCCCTTCTATTTTCTCCATACTTTGGGCAGATTCCTCTCCTTTCCTTCCTTCCATTGATATTGGGGCTCTTTTAAATGTGGTACTGAGGCGGGAGACAAAGATAAGGAATCATGGTCACATGGGAAGAGAAGCTGGGAGGAGGAGGCTCTGCTCCCTAGATTTGATCTTTCTCTTCTGATGAAGATATACCTCTGTCCTTATCACTGGTGACAGTACTGGGCATGTTAGGCAAGCACATTGTCTCTGAATTGTATACTTTGTCCTCTTTTTTCTTTCTTTTTATTTTTTTGCAACTAGGTCTCACACTGTAGCCCAGGTTGGCCTGAAACTAACTCTGTGGTCCTGGCTGTTTTCTTCTTTCTTTCTTTCTTTCTTTCTTTCTTTCTTTCTTTCTTTCTTTCTTTCTTTCTTTCTTTCTTTCTTTCTTTCTTTCTTTCTTTCATTTCTTTCTTTCTTATTTCTTTCTTTCTTTCAACGTTTGTTTATTTATTTATTTATTTATTTTTGTCTTTTTGAGACAGGGTCTCCCTGTAGCCCCAGCTGTCCTGGAACTCACTTTGTAGACCAGGCTGGCCTCAAACTCACAAAGATCCACCTGCCTCTGCCTCCCAAGTGCTGGGATTAAAGGCGTGCGCCACCATGCCCGACTACATTTAAAAATTTTTTTTATTATTTTTATTTTATGTGTATGCGAGTATTGCCTGCATGTAGGTAAGTGCACCCGTGTTGTGCAATGCCCACAAGGTCAGAAGAGGCTGTGAGATCCCCTGGGACTAGACTTACAGACAGTTGTTAGCTGCCATGTGGATGCTGGGATTCGAACCCACGTCTTCTGCAAGAACAACCAGTGTTCTTAACTGCTGAGCCATCTCTCTAGCCCCCAATCCTGGCTGTTTTCAAGTTCACAGCAATCCTCTAACCACAGCCTCCTGAGTCTTGGGGTTACCTGTGTGAGCTATCATTGTTACCAGAGTTTTTAGGATAAAAGCCTGGGCTCTGATGACTCCAACAAGCTAGGATCCCTAACATAATAATTAAAGAGAAAAGTGAAATAGTGAAAAACAAAGAAAAGATTTATTCAATGTGGCCACTTTGGGACAAGGAAAAAATAAAGGGGTCCACTAACCCCCAAGTCTGTCTTGGGATACTGACATGAGGTTTATTAAATAGATGGCTAGAGATATGCATTATTAAGCAGTTCTGGTAAGATGTAATCCTGACCAGCATTGTCTGGCCTCTAGTCCGTCTTGCAAGGTGGTCTGAAATTATGTGAAATCTCTTCCTGGGAGCCAAGTTCCTTTTCTGACTGACACCAGAGCTTCAGCCTTTCCCGTTCTTGCATCCTAGGTGCTGGAATAACAGGTATGTTATTCACCACACCAGGCAATTTTAATTCTTTGGAGCCTATTGTTTCAATAGTTTGTTATTGAAAGGGAGGGTCACATGTCTCTTTAATTAATTATTTACTACTAATAGCAATTATTATGTGTGTGTGTGTGTGTGTGTATGTGTATGCCACAAATAATACTGTGGAGTTATTTCTCTTCTTTCACCTTCATGTGTGTTGCGGGGATTGAACTTAGGTTATCCAGGTTTGTGTAGCAAAGAGCCACTACCCACTGAGTCATCTCATAGGTCCACAAGTGCCTCTTTAAAATATCTCTTCTTCTAGTGTTGTGGGTTGATTTACCACAGAAGACCATTTAGACAAAGTTTTGCCAAATGAATGTCTTGCTGGTCAGGGCTATTACACAAGGGTGTTGGAACCCAAGCGTGTAGCACTGAACCATCTCTAGGGTAAGTTTTTATACGGAGAAACCATAACCGGGTGAATAGTTTAAGTTCCCAAGCTTACAGGTAGAAAGCCCCCTTAACAATTTCTATTCTATTAAGTAAAAATTACTATTTTGCAGAAGCAAGCCAAGCATAACCTACAGAAGTCATAAATCTGCAGTTAGCAGGTGGTCTCCAGGACACTCTGACCTGTTCCCAACACATTTGGGCTCCAGCTGACATGTTCCCATACCCTGGGCCAACTACCTGATAATTTCAGAGACTAGAGTCAGCCTATACTTTAACATGGTATAGCTATGGTCAAGAAGGTGCCCCATTACACTAGGAGAGCAGTTATACCATGTCTGGCTTTTAAAAAATCTTTTGTAGTTAATGAGACTGGGTCTTACTGAGTTTTTCAGGCTAATCTTGAATTTATATCCCACATTGGTCTGGAAATTGCAATCCTCTTCCCTCAGCCTCCTATGTAGCTGGGATTACAGGCATGTGCAACCAGGCCCAGCTTTGGGGTGTTTGTTTGTTTATTTATTTATTTATTTATTTATTATATTTTTAATAATCTTTATGTGTGAGAGTTTTGTCTGCATGTATGTGAGTGCACCTGTGCATGCAGTGCTCTCAGAGGCCAGAAGAGGGTGTAGGATCCCCTATAACTTGAGTTACATACGATTAATGATTATTAGCTACGATGTGGGTGCTGGGGACTAAACCCAGGTCCTCTGCGAGAGCGGCCAGTGCTCTTAACCACTGAGCCATCTCTCCAGTCCTCATTTTTTTTTTGAGACAGGGCCTCACTAGGTAGCTATGGGTGGCCTGGAACTTGCTATGTAGACCACACTGGCCTCAGACTCAGACAACACCCTGCCTCTGCCTCACAAGTGCTGGGATTAAAGGTGTGCACCACCACCATGCCTGGCCAGGGGCCTTTTTTTTTTTTTTAATAAAGGAAAAGGAAATAGCAACAAAATTTATTAGGAACATTCTCCTGGGTGAGTCGCACACACATGTATAGAATAATCATCAGGGTATACTTTAGTAAATTCAGCTTATAATAGTAAAAATCACATCCAAGTTTGGGATTTAAAGTTACAATGTAGCATGCTACACATGACAGGGGAAGAGTGCAGGCTCACCTGGAACTCTATCTCTGCGATGGTTCCAAGAACTAGGTCCCTTTCCACTTGGACAAAACCATAAAATCTTTGTTCCTTTGAGGCAGCTTTGAGACATTCTCCCTGCCATGCTTTCTCCCTTGTGCTGAACCATAAGAATAAAAGGCCTTTGTCTGATTCTTCTGATAGAGAGCATTAAGAACCCTGAGATCTGGTTTCAGCTTAAAGCTAGGCATTTGCTAAAAGAGGTTTGTGGATATCTAATCAAAAGACTTTCATAGCATGGTGACTAGTGCCTATAATCCCAGTAATAGGGAGGTAGCGAGACAAGAGGATGACAAGATCAAGGCAGGATGGTGAGACAGGATAACGATCAGAAAAACCAAAACCAAATAAAATAAAACAAAAAACTAGGCACCTATAAGTGGTTTTCTTCAAGGGGCATGTCTTAGTGGTTCATTTTCATCAAAAGTATGCTTATAACTTTTTTTTTTCTTTTTTTCTTTTTTTCTTTTGGTTTTCTTGAGATAGGGTCTCCCTGTAGCCCCAGCCAGCCTGGAACTCATTCTGTAACCAGGGTGGCCTCAATCTCACAGAGATCCGCCTGCCTCTGCCTCCCGGGTGCTGGGATCAAAGACGTGCACTACCACGCCGGGCAATGCTTAAAACGTTTTGTGAATATTTTCTATCTGCGATATGCTGGAAAATTTTAGTTGTCTGTATCAGAGGCTCTTATTTTATTATTTTTGACTACAATCTTTTACTGAGGTTGCGGAGACTGAGGGGGATTCAAGTCCCCTTCATAACAATTCTGGCACAATAACAGGATAGATACTTTATCACCTTGACTCCTTTCCCCCTCTTCTCCTGTGGTATCGTCCAGGCGGACCTGACGTCTCCCCCCTACATCCCAGTGGTACCTCCAAGGAGGAGAGTGTACCACTTTGGCTCCTACCTCCTCTGGCTCAATTTGTCTCCCTTGGAAATTAGGATACATCTCCGTACCCACGAATAAAGGGATACCTTTTGCTTCGCTAAACTTTGCACAGGGACAGACCTACAGAAGGCCGTTCCAAAGAAAAACTTCCGGTAGCTTGCCTTCAGAAGGCTTCTACCCTTGAACACCTCTTCTTGCCCCTCCTTCTGGGGGCCTGCTAGCTGTACGGAATGGGTGCTAAGATGGCGGCCCTCACGGAGAAACGACTTAGTGCGCGGCCATGTTGATCTCCTGACAATGCCACTCACAGTCAAAGTCTCCGCAGAACCCTAACCGCAGCTTGTTCAGTGTGAGTAGACTGCAACCTCTCAGTCCTTATTATGATTGTGTGCAAAATCAAAAGGTCTAGAAGGTGCAGTGTTGGGGCGAGGACAGGAAACGGAAATGCCCCCAGAGGCGGTTTAAGTCTTGTTGGCTTGCAGCACTAAATGTGCAAGAGGGTTTACGGTGTGAGAGTCGCGCAGCTGATTTTCAAGCCATGACTTTGTTGTATTTGGGGGATGATAAACTGCCAGTTTGGGGTGATATTGGAGGTGAATTAAAGCGAGCAGAAGTCTGTGGGGGTCAGAGTGAGAACCTCTGGAGTGTTCAGGTTTTAGCTCCCAGCATCTTAATAATGTGTTTGGATTTTTCTTTAACAGTCTTTACAGAGGCATGCTAATTTTATGACTCATTCTGAAGAACCAATTTTTGGCCTTGTTGCTCTTTTTAATGTGCCTCGCTCCCTCTCGCCCTCCCCCTCCCCCTCCCCCTCCCCTCCTTCTCCCTCTCAGCTTCTCTCCTCCTCCCCCTTCCTTGTTTTTGAGACTGATTCTCAGACTAGCTATGCCTTTATTTTCTACTTCCCTTAATTTTGACTCCTAGCAGTGCTATTTTATCTTTTGCTAACTTCCTAAATTGAATGTTAATTCATAAATGTTCAGCCTTTGTTAAAGAAAAACCAAATTCCTCTTGAATATTCATAGCCTGCATTCCTGTTTTGGGAAGCTGGGGCAGGAGGATTGATCCAAGTTCACACTAGTAGTCTAGGCTACACACAAAGTTGAGATCCTGTGTCAAGAAACAAAAAACTCCAACAAACTTTAGCAATATTTTGTATACATTATCTTATTATCGTTGAACTTTGTGGTCAATCGTAGTTATTGTTTGATTCTTTAAAAATTTTTTGTTTTTTATTTTTTGGGTCTTTATTTATTTATTTTGAGACAGAGTCTTCCTGTAGCCCCAGCTGACCTGGAACTCACTATGTAGACCAGGCTGGCCTTGAACTCACAGAGGTTCACCTGCCTCTGCCTCCCGAGTGCTGGGATTAAAGGCATGCACCACTATGCCTGGCATAATTGAGTCTTTAATGTACTTTTGGGAGGGTTGACATTATTTTTTGAGATGGAGTTCTGCTGGCCTTCAAATCTTGGGTTCCTCCAGACTCAGCCTCCTGGGTAACTAGGATTCCATGTTTGTGTCTTGTTAAGGGTTGACATTTTTCACTAATTATCTTATTGTAGGTCTGTGTGATTATTTTATATCTGTCAATTTTTAATCTAATTTAATTTTATAGAAAGGGCTTTGCTTGGGCTGGAAAGATGGCTCAGCGGTTAAGAGTACTGGCTGCTCTTGCAGAGGACCCGGGTTCTATTCCCAGCACCCACATGGTAGCTGACAACCATCCATAACTCCAGTTCCAGGGAATCTGACACTCTCTTCTGACCTCCGAGGGCATTGCACGATACGGGTGCACTTACACACATGCGGGCAATGCACATAATGTAAATAATAATAATAGTTAAAAAAGAAAAGGCTTTGCTATGTAACCGGGTTGATCTGGAAGTCTGGATCTTCTTGCCTCTACCTCTGTAGTGCTGGGATTTTTAGATGTTTACCACAATGGTTATTTATTTATTTTTTGTCTTTTTGAGGCAGGGTCTCCCAGTAGCCCCAGCTGGCCTGGAGCTGATGGTTATCTTTTTTAACCTCTTTTTAAAATTACATTTTAATTAATTAATTAATTAATTAATTAATTATGTATTGTGTGTATATGAGCATGTGTGAGTGTGTGTGAGTGTGTGTGTGTGTGTGTGTGTGTGTGTGTACAGGGCACAGCAAGGGGTGTAGGTCAGAACAATTTTTGGGAGTTGGTTCAGTTCTCTCCTTCTACTTGGGGCCTGGGGATTGAACTCAATTTGTCAGGCGTGGTAGCAAGTACCTTTCCTTTACCTGTTGAGCTATCTCCTTGACCTATCACTTGTCTTTTAAATTAATTAATTAATTGTGGTGCTGAGGAAAAATCCAGGGCCTTGTATACAATAGGCTAGGGAAGTACCATGGAACTACATCCCTAGCCCATTGGCCCAGCACGCTTCTGCTGCACAACTGTGCTACCTACTTTGTTAAAAATATTTTTTTAGCTGGTTGTGGTGGCCCATACTTCTAATCCTAGCATTCAGGGGGTAGAGTCAGGTGAATCTCTGTGAGTTCAAGCAATATCAGCCTGCTGTATAGGCCAGCCATAGCTATACAGTGAGATCCTTTCTCAAAAACATAGCAACAGAAAAAAGTTCAATTGAGGGAGTTGGAGAGATGGCTCAGCAGTTAAGAGCTCTGGCTGTTCTTGCACAAGACTGGGGTTTGATTCCCAGCACCCACATGGCAGCTAACAACTGCCCATAACTCCAGTTCCACGGGATCTGATGCTTTCTTCTGGCTTTTGCAGGCATTGCACAACACAGATGCACTTACATCCATTCAGGCAATGCACTCGTACACATAAAATAAAAATAAATAAAATTTAAAAACTTCAATTGAGAAAAACCTTCATTTGTATAGGTCCAGCGCCTGCTTGTTCTTACATATTATATAT